TCAGGTGTCGTAATTTCCCAGTATAACCAAAAGTAAAGCAAACTGATTGTAGGCCAACTATGTAATGTGGCAACACATTATACATTTTTAATTGGTTTCCTTTTAAAGATAAATACACGCACATGAAAAATGTAAGTCATGTAAAAAAGTAAACAGTAAAAATTACACCTTTCACTCCAATCTGCAGTCCAACAATTCCCCTCTCCTTTCTTACACTTCTGATATCACTTTATACACAGTCTTGTGGCTCCTAACAGCATATCTTGGATACTGAAACTTTTTTTTCACAAGTACATAGTAATCCATTATATATACATATGTATATGTGTGTGCACATGTGTGTATTGTTAGTTATTTAACCAGTTTTCTACCGATGGGCATTTAAAGAGTTACTAGGTTTTTTGCTGCAAAACAATGCAGCTGTGATCCATCTTATATGTCAGAAATACATGTCTCTGTGCGTGCGTGTGTAAGATAAATTCTAGAAGTGGAATTGCTGAGGCAGAGGACACTTACACTTGTGATTTAATAACTATAGCCAAATTGCCCTCCACACTGCTGTACTAATTTATATTTGCAGTAACAATGAATGAAAGTTCCTGTTTCCCCTTACCATCTCTCACCAGTACATTACCAAAATGTTTTTGTAGTTTCCAAATTTAAAATGTGAAAAACCTAATTGTGTAGTTTTTATGGGCATTTCTTTGGTTATAAGTGAGTTTGAGCAATTCTTTGTATATTATAGGGCTGTTTGTATTTTCTGTGGAATGTCTGCTCATGTTCTTTATCATTTTTCTTTTGGGATACTGGTATTTTTCTTACCAATTTATAAAATTCTTTATTTGTTTAGAAAAGTAGCCCTTTGTTTATCATGTATGTTGGAAAGCTTTCCCTACAAGTTTATCATTTCCTTTTTTAAATCTGTTTGTTTATCGTACTTTTTGGCAAATGAAGTTATAATTTGATGTAGTCAAATTTAATGTTTTCTTTTATGGCCTTCTCTGAGATCATAAATCAATTTTCTAACTTTTTTCTAGTATTTTATGATTTTGTTTATTTTACATTTACTTAGGTAATTTATTTGGAATTGATTTTGGAGTAGGAGTGAGATGGGGTTCCATTTATTTTTTTCCAATTGGCTTGCTAGCTATCCCAATAAGTTGCAATTTATCCCCAATATAAACCTCAGCAACATTTGCAAAAGTGTAAGAACCTCCTTATCTCATCTAAACAGAAGATTAACTGTCTTCCTGACCATTAACTTGAACCAAGACAATTGGTTCAAGAGCATTTTGCAAGAAATTTAAATTGTGGATGTAGTATGTAATCCAAGACAGAACCTGACAGCACTTTGGCAATTGTTTCTGATCCCTTTCTCTGTGTTGAATTGAGAGGGAAAAGAGAAGAATTCTCAGCAGGCTCCTGAAGTCTAAAACCCTATTGTGGGCTGACTGGTTAGCTGAGTTGGTTAGAGTGCAACCTGTAACACCATGGTCAAGGGTTTGGTTCCCCGTACAAGACAGCTGCCAAACAGAACAAAACCAAAAAAACCCTGTTGTGAATCCCAGGGCCTGAACAGAATTTAAGATACACAGCCCAGGGCAGGCCCAGTGGCGCACTGCTACAGTGCGCCACTTGGGAGTGCGGCGGCGCTCCCGCCGAGGGTTCGGATCCCACGTACAGACCGGTTCCCGCTCACTGGCTGAGCGAGGTGCGGGTGCAACGCCGAGGGTTGCGATCCCGTTGCCGGTCCCAGTCCGGTGCGGGCGCGACACTGAGGGTTGCGATCTGTTGCCGGACACGAAAAAAGACAAAAAAAAATAATAATAATAAGATACACAGCCCAAACCAGGAGAACTAGGGAACCAGGGAAGCAGAGAGCCAGCGCTGGAGCAGCAGTTGGGAACAAGTACAGAGTGACACCTGAGGCCTGAGAGCTCAGGGAAACTGATCCTTTGAAAGGAGCAAGGATGGGGAAGACTTGCATGTCTAAGAAGTCCTGTAGCAATTCCTAGTCAGATGATAGAATTCAGATAGTTTTCACCTACACAAGAAGGTAGAGCCAAGTACCCTAATAGCTAGTAAAGGGTAGGCCAGGCCTTTAGAAATGTGGGCTGAAATATGCTTTCTGAGGTAAAGTAGATGTTGGGATAATGTTATTAATTTAAAAAATAAAAATATTTACCTCTACTAAATCATACCTAAATGTAACGGTGGGTGAACTGGTAAGTTAGTTCATTCCTTCTTTAACAAACTTTTATGGAGTATGTGCCAGGCACTGTGCAGAACTCTGGGTGATGGGGAGGAGAATAAAGTGCGGGGTCCTGCCCTCCAGGTGCTTATACATTCAGGTGCAGGTAGGTTAGTGACAAGGACAGCACAATTGTGAGGCACTCTGAGAGGACACAGAGCCAAGAAGTTCTTCAGAGAGTCTGCCAGAACATGAGGTGATCAAGCACTTCATCCCGTCCAAAATCCTTATTCTCGTTTTGTGTAGGTTAGGCTGAAGTTTCTTTCTGAGTTTTGATAAATGCTACTCCACTTCTAGTCTCTCATAGCTGCATGCTGCCTTTCTGCTGGGAGTCTGAGGAGACCTAGTGACCCTCGACCTTCTCAGAGATTCTTAACCTGGGGTATGGAGATAGGTTTCAGAGTGTGAACCCCTCAAAACTGGATGCAGGGCCAGCCTGTGGCTCACTCGGGAGAGTGCTGTGCTGATAACACCAGGGCCCCGAGTTCGGATCCCATATAGGGATGGCCGGTTGGCTCACTGGCTGAGCGTGGTGCTGACACCACCAAGTCAAGGGTTAAGATCCCCTTACCAGTCATCTTTTAAAAAACAAACAAACAAAAAAGCTGGATGCAAATTGTGTGGGGTGCTTTTTTCCTGGGGATAGGGTCATAGGTTTCATTAGAATTGCAGAGGAGTCTGTGACCCCAGGATTAGTAAGAATTAGTGACTTGGATTTTCTTCACCCTTATTAAGTATCTTTTATCTTAAAATTTTTATTTTATTTTATTTTATTTTTTTCACACCATTCATACAACTAAATTTAATGTTGCTTGCAGACCCAGATGTGAGAAAATAAAACCATAAATACGGAGAAGACACTTAACTCTATAAAAATTAAAAACATCTTGTTCAAAATTGAAGCAAAATTAAAAGATAAGCAATGGACTGAAAGAAAATATTTGTGCATATACAGTAGAAAAAAGTACTATAAGTTGTATAATAATAATATATAACGCCATAAAAAAGGCAAAAACATGAGAAAAACAGGCAAAGTATATAAACAGATAATTCAAGATAGAGACAAAAAATGGCCAATAAACATTTTAATAGATGCTCAGTCTTACTTCCAATCAGGAAACTGTGAAGCAAAACAATGAGAATTTTTTTGCCTCTTAAAAATGTTTTTTAAAACATCCCAATCAGACACTAACCTGGAGATGTGTTTATACTGCTACCTGGCCCGCTGTAAGCCCCTGTCTTTTATCCTTCCTCCAGCTTCCTCTCCCCCTGTCTAGAAATAGTACTGGGCATCAACCTCCTGTTTACTTTCCTTACTTATGTTTATTTGGCAATCCCTACTTAACCACGGTAACACTATAGGCAACCCTATACTTAACTGTAATAACGTGATATCATCAAGCAGAGTTGGAAATCCACATTTGCAAGGCAAGTCTCTCATGTTTTCAGTCAAGTTTTGGGCTCAGAATGCTCAAGTTCAAAAATCAAGTTCGACACATTTAGTGAACATTTTTATAATGTAGGACATCGCACTCCCTGTGAGGGAGAGAGGAGAGGAGCAGGACATACAGATGAATTCAGCCGAGTTCCTTCCTTCATGGAGATGAGATGTTTTGGGAAAATGCACAAAGTCCTGTGGGGTTTCAGAGAGAAAAAAATTATTTCCTACTGGAGAGGACAGGAAAAAAGTCTGGAAGATATTGTGGCTGGGCAGTATTTCTTATCATTCACGATGCTGTAGACTTACCCTCCATTTCCACATCTTCAAAATAAGATGCTGGGCCTGGAGGCGAACACCTGATCAGAAATATTTTTAAAATAAGCCTAGGAGAAAAATAAGCCTGTGTGATAGAATGACATAGAAAGAAAAGGTGGAAGTGACAAGCATAGGAAAAGTTGTACATGAACATAAAGTAGTGAAGGAGATATAGTATTATTATTATAATAAATATAAGAAAGTTTGAATATTGATAGTCATAGAGAATCTTCATTATCATCATTGCCATTGTATTATTTTTAAAATCTGATTTTAAAGGAGCCCAAGGCAATATGCATGTTTCCCTAAACTTCAAGAAATAGAAAAATTGTTTTGCTAGAAACATTTAGACTGTAAAGGCTTTTTCTAAAATGTAGATTGAGGGGTGTGTGTATGTGCATTTTTCTTCTTACTAAATCATATGTAATCAAGCACCTACTACTGAGATGAGTCATAACTTAAATTTGTAGTGTGTATTTAGATCAGTGCTTTACAGGGCAGTTTCATATTCGTTATAAATCCTGAACAGTACATTGGCATGGGCTAATAATTTTCTTACTCTCTGTTCTTAGGGTGAACCAGCAACTGCCGAATTTTTGAGACAGCTCACGGCTTAGAGGAAGGCTCATCTAAATAAAGGCCAGCTAAAGTGACATTGCAGGGATTTAATCCTTCTCTGGCTGCCCGTGTGACCAGAAGGCTGATTTGCAAGTTTCTTCTTTCCTGGGGTCCAGATTATTAGGTTTCCAGGGCCCTGCGACTTGAAAGCGAGAGCAGCACAACATGAAGAGTGTGGAACAGAAGCACCAGCAGCGGGGGCTGGGGGGCCTCCGAGGGGCTTTTACACACCAGAGTGCAAGATTCTCTGGGCATCAAAGGAAATAGCAAACTGGAACCTCTGTCCTGGAACACAGCCACCAACCACAGAGCATCAGATTCCACGTCTGCCACCAAACTGCTGGAGTCCGATGGGGAAGTGCTGTGGTAGCTGGACGTGTGCTAGTTAATTGTGCAGTCACAGCCTGGGAGTCCCACCTGAGGGGAGGTGGGAAATGCCTCGAGTGAGGGGGGAGGCTCTCGGCCGGGCTGGGCAGATGCCGACCTCTCACTGAAGACGAGCGGGAGGCTGCTCAGCAAGGAGGTTTGACGGCTCGCAGGACGGCTGGACAGCTGTCACGGACCCTGGGCTCTGACAGCCCTCGGCCAGCCTCTCCCGCCAGCTGGGCCTCTCCGCCCTCCGCACTTGCCCTTGATCGGTGGCTCTTCGCTGCGATGGAGACGTGAGGCTGGGCGGACGATGACTGCGGTGTACGTGAATGGAGGCGGCCTGCTGAGCCCCCAGTGTGCCAGGTGGGACCGGCGCGACAGCGGGGACAGCGGCTGTCAGGCGGAGTGCGGCAAGGACGGCGAGGAGGGACAGCTCCGCCAGCTGACGCCCTTCGAGAAGCTGACCCGGGACATGTCCCAGGATGAGAAGGTGATGCGGGAGATCACGCTGGGGAAACGGATAGGCTTCTACCGAATTCGAGGGGAGATCGGAAGCGGAAACTTTTCCCAAGTCAAGCTCGGAATTCACTCCCTGACCAAAGGTAGGATCTGACTTCCAAGGATCATCATCTGTGGTGCTGGGACCTAGTGTGGGGTGGGGTGAGGAGGGCAGGGCCAAGGAAGCAAGAGAAATGACAGCAGCTGAGCCCCTGTGCTGCCGCCTCCCATCCTCATCTGTTAATTTTCATGGTAACACGTGGGGTATTTTTATTTCCATTTTACAGATAGGGAAACTGAGATCGAAAGAAGTTAAACGTAACTTCAGCAATTTAATCTTAGATGTTTCGACTCCAAAACCTCTCCCACTATACCATGCAGATAAACCCACTCAAACGTGAGGGCAATCTGTCCTCTCCAATTAGGCCTTTGAGAAGTGGAGTGCAGTGTGGCTTGGTTTCAAGGCAACACATATCCCAAACTCGTGTTTATAGCTTCTATTTACACTTGTGTGGCAGTAACAGTGGCACAGGAGACCTCCCAGCTGGCCATTGTCTGCAGACAGCAGGGTCCAGGCCACTATCTCTGATTAGCAGCGTCCAGTTTCCTGTCCTAACCAGAGGCTGCTACTTCTGTTCTATGTGGGGAAAAGGGATTTGATCTCAGGACCTTTTCTGCTTCAGTCTGTCCTGTACTCGTTCTCATTGTTGAGTGGTTACTCAGTGTGCACTTGCATGGCTACTGGTTATTCTGGGATTCTGGACTAACAGTGCCCACCATTCTGGCCTCAGGCAGGAACTGTGTGGAGAGCTCAACACCCCTTTGCTGCTCCAACCCCAATGTGGGCACTTCCCCAAGGTACCTTTAACTTTCTGGAGCCTGGAGCACAAGACGGTTACAAGACTGGAAAAGAACGCATACAACTCAGCATAATTTACCCAGTTCCTGAAGCCCATAGGCTCTACCCTCTCCCGAGAGTCTCTTGCTGACATTTCCTGTCCTTGGACTCAGTCTGCTACTGTACCTGCAAGGCCTCTCTCTTTTTGCCTCAGAGTTGTCTTTTGCTTTCTTCTCCAACCCATAATCTCATGCCCCTCCAATCACTGTGTTTGGCCTCTATAGAAAAAGCCACATGCACACGTGTGCATACACATACACAACCTCCTACCCACACCTGCACGCGCACTCCCAAGTCACTGGTATCCCAATTCCCCTTCATCTTGCTCTTAAGATCCAGTGTCTGGGTTTATATCTTCACATCTACTTCCTTATCTGGTTATATTACAGTACTTCTCTGAGCCTCCAATTCTTCATTTATAAAATGCAACCAAAAGCAGTGCTTACTTCATAGGGTGTCATAAGGATTAATGAGTAAGTGCTCAATAAATGTTAGTTATTGGTATTATTTTGCAGAGTTGCTTAAGCCTTGCCAAGATCAAGTAAAGTATCTTTATCACCAGAAGTTCATCTCTGCCCAACCCCACACTCAAACCAAAATCAATTCAGCTGCCATTTCTGACAGCCCATGGTTTACAACTCTGACAATGCATGGAATTACTTGGAAAGGTTTTTAAAAAATCAGTGCCAATAACCCACCCTCAGAGCTTTTGATTTAATTGGTCTGTGGTGGGACTAGGCATGGGTATTATTTTTAAACTCTCCAGGTGATGATAATGGATATGCAGAGCTAAGAAACACTGCCAGGAGCAACTTGCATATACTGAAGACAGCTTTTAAAATATTAATTTTTTGGTGTTTGCCACAAATGAATAATCCAGGGATCATTTGTATTTTAAAATCAGTTATGAGGTTTTGTGTCAGGCCTTTATCTCTTACATTTAAACTTCAAATTTTATTTTGCTTGGAATAATATTCATTTATCCAACAGTAGAGGCATTATAGGAGAGATCTTTAAAAAGTTCGTGGAAAGATTCGTAATAGCTTTTAATTCTATTTTTCCATAAACTTTTTGAAGTACCCTCGTATCATGCCGTGGGGGTATAAAGATTAATTAGATACAGCCTCCACCCTCAAGGATAAGGGAAGAAAAAACATACAAATACAGTACAAGGCTTTAATTAGGGATAGAATTTGAGCTATACCTCAGGGAGAGATAGGATTTTGTATAGGCAGTTATTCCAGGACAGAAGAGGGTTAGGGAGTTAACTAGGAGGAAAAAGTGAGCAAAAGCATAAACACGGGGAAATGATGTATAGTTCAGCTTCCCCAAACACTAGGCAATGGCAGAAGAAAGGACTGGAAAGCTAAGCTGAGGCTGAATCATAGTGGCCTTTAAACATCGTCCTAAGGAGCATGGATTGTTTTTCTCAGCAATTGAGAACCATCAGGGTTTTTGTGATTAGAACCGGGCTCTTAGAAGGTTAATCCTATAGTGCTGAGAATAGAGGTTGGGAAGAGAGAGATCTAGGAGTCAGGGAGATGTCAGAAAGAGTTGCTGATCATCCAGCCAGAGGGGAGGAGATCCTGAGCTAGGATGGCAGCAGTCAAAATAGAAAAGAGGAGTTGGGTGATACTGAAGAGAAGGATCTGTAGGACTGGTATGTTACTATTCTCCAGACAAACAGAACCAATAAAATATATGTGTGTACATATACACACACATATTTATACACACACATACATACATACATAAAGAAATTTATTATTAAGAATTGGCTGACAAGATTATGGATGCTGCGAAGTCCCAAGATCTGCAGTTGGAAAGCTGGAGACCCAGAGAGGCAGTGGTATAGTTCCAGTCTGAAAACCAGCAAGCTCAAGACCCAAGAAGAACCAGAGTTTCAATTTGAGTCTGAAGGCTAGAAAGGAATCAATGTCCCGGCTTACGACAGTCAGGCAGGAGCTCCCTCTTACTTAGTCTTTTTGTTCTATTCAGGTCTTCAACTGATTGGATGAGGCCCACCTACATTGGGGAGGACTCTCTGCTTTATTATATGTCCCGGCTTACGACAGTCAGGCAGGAGCTCCCTCTTACTTAGTCTTTTTGTTCTATTCACGTCTTCAACTGATTGGATGAGGCCCACCTACATTGGGGAGGACTATCTGCTTTATTACTCAGTTTACTGATTCAAATGTTAATCTCATCCAAAAACATCCTCACAGACACACCCAGAATAGTGTTTGACCAAATGTCTGGGCATCACATGGCCCAGTCAAGTGACAAATAAAATTAACCATCACAGTTGGTAATTGATTGGAACTGCAGATGGAAAGACGAAAGAAGGCAGTGAACTTGACTTCCTTGACTATGCGAACCAAAAGGAGAGTCATGGCTTTAAAAGAAATAGGGAAATAGAAAGAGTGGATTTGGGAGGGAAATGATGAGTGAAAACGCTGGTGTCTGGAAGGAGCTGTCTACATGGCAGTTGTGTGCTCTAGTCAGGGATATGGTCGTGAGGTCAGACTGGGGTTTGCATCGAGGCGATCACGGAGGTAGATGGCAATCACTGAGGTGGACAGTGGAGAAGAGGGATGAGCAACCTCCCTATACCTAAATAACCACAGGCTTACATCCTGGTTGACATTTTATGTATATGTAAACATATAGATACGTATGGAATGGTTTTAAATATGTCGTTCATTTTTGCCCCATTAACACTATGATTTTTCAATGTCATTATAGATATTTTTCAATGTCAGTATATATAGATAACACTCATTTTTTAAGGAGCTAAGAGCTAAGTATTCCATTATATAGCTCCAGCATAAAATTTTTAACATGGCCCCTATTGAGAACTCTTTGGATTGTTCATAAAGTTTTGCTGCTGTTTATAATGCTGCAGAGATTACCCTTTTTCATGCTTCTTTGCGTACTTGTATGATTTTTCTCCTCACACACTCCTAGAAGTTTGCTCTCTTGGTCAGAAGGCATGCATTGAAAAATTTTAAAACATAGCGCCAGGTTGAAGGGGCAGCTTTTGAGTCTTTACTCATAAAAGTAGATCTAGATCTGTAACTCAAATCTAATTGGTATAGATGTTGCTGTTCAATGGTCTAGAGCAAGAATGGAAGACAGAAGATAAAAAAATATAGGGAGGTAAGAGGCCAGAGACTGAGACAGCAGATGTGATTAGGAAGAGTGGCGGAGAAGTTGGATAAAGCCAAACCAGAAGAGGAATTCAGAAAGGAGTGTCCAGTGCAGCAGCGAGGTCACACAGAGGCTGAAGTCTGAGCAAAGGCTACCGGATGTGGCAACTTCGAGCTCTTTTATGTGAGTGTGGGTTCAGGTGTCAGACTGCAACAGAGAGGAGGCAGGGTGCGACGGTGGGAAGAGCATGGACTTCAGAATCAGAAAAATTTGTTTCAATTTCTTGTTCAGTAATTTTCTAGGCATCTAACTTTGTACATATTACTTAACTTCTTTGGTTCTCAGTTGCTTCAGCTGTAGATTAGAGATAATGATTCTTAGAATTGTTGGGAAAATTAGAAATAACATATGTGAAGTACATGGCATGTAGTAGCCACTCAGTAATTGGTCGCTATCATTAGTACAACTTTATTTTTTACTTAAATACATTTATTTCAAAAGGAAATTTAAAATTATTACAGTAATGAAAAACCAGCATTACTTGCTTAGAAAATAATGATAAAAATAAATATGAATAGGAGGTAAAGGTAAAAATAAATAAAATGCAAACAAACCTTTCCTTTAAAACAAAAAGTTTTAAAGGAAAATCATGAAGTAATAGAAAGTAGTTTTAAAAGCATGCTAACAAACAATCAGAGACTTTCTCTTTGACTTAATTAGGAGAATTAAAGGCGAACTGAAGTGGGAATAACATTTTTATGCTGTGATTCAGTGCTATTTAAGGTTGTTTCCATGCACTAAAATCATTTCGTGCCCCATGAGTGTTAATGGTTCCACTCTGGGAAATATTGACTTCATCCAGTCCTCCCATATTTTACAAATGAGGAAATGGAGTCCTGAAAGTGGCTGTCCCAAGGTCATAGCAGAGACAGGCTTAGAACTGGGCTTTCTTTTTATTCCACCAGGCTACCTCGGGATTTTGGTGTAGTGTCAGGAGGCAATTCTTTCACACTTGGCCTTGACCAGCTAGCCAAGTGGGTACTGCTACCTTCTTCA